GACAATGGACCTTTTTGTACAAGAAATTTCACTAATGTGACCACACCTTTAGACCAAAGAAGATAAGTGTGAGATACAGTTTAACGCAAGAAATAAGAGCAAATTTATGAGAAATAAAGTAACAATTATTTAAATGTTAGAATTTAGGTGCGGTCACAATTATCGTTATTCAACTAATTTCCCTGGCAATTTCCAATCATTTCAATGGGAATCCATGTGCGAAAGTAGATTCCTACAAATTGTACCTACACAAATCTGCTTGGTTTGAAAGGGACTTCTGTGTGAGCTGTGCTTCATACATCGATAGACTGTTGACAGCAGACAACGGACCTTTCCTTAAAGCAACACCAAGTAACTTTTCCTCTGCGGTCGCCCTACAGGTTGGAAGCGGAATTGTCCATTACCGCTGTGGTAAATAATTTATCCTAGCGCAGCCGACTGTCGTACGCGCGCTCGCTGTTTATCCAGCGCCGGCTGAGGAATCAACGATGTCCACAGACAAGGTAGAGTATGTTGCATGATTTCATGAAAGGATGATGTATTGCGACATCAGAAACGAAGAAAAACAAAATAATGACTATTGTAACGCTTGACGTAAAGCAAGTCAAATTTGTATTATTAGAACTACAGAAACGCAACCCGATCTGGCAATCTTACATAGCGTGGTTATAGCAGATATAGGACCGCAAAGCGAATCCAGAAGTGCCTTAACCACTGAAACGATTTTGGAAACATTATTTTAGGGTAAAAAAATCTTACTTAGTGTTGCTTTAAGTCCAGTCCTGCTCCTAAAGTCCCAACATCCGGCAGCGTTTAGCTCCAACCTCACCAAACACACTATCCTGGAAGTTTCTAGTAATCCTGACGACCTTGATTAGCTGGTTCGAGTGTGTTTAAAGAGCTGTTTGATTCATTAAATTGAATTAAAATAAAAAATAATGTATTAAAACTAAATCCATTAAATGATCCCATGATGGGAACCCCTGAAAGAACCCTTTAAGGACCTTTTCTTCTAAAGGCCCTTGCACACTGAGTCACTCTGAATTGTCAAAACACCTTTCGAACTGCTTGCTACGGATGCGAAAAACGATGTTTTTTATGACGGACGAAAGTTTCGGAGGCAGTGTGCAAGCGTGATTGACATAACGTGAGGTCGTATTTATTTTTTAACGTGCGAAAATTTCGGACTCAGTGTGCAAGGGCCTTAAGAGTGGATTTTTTTGTGCCTCTTTTCTCTTATTTTGTGTACATGGACACGGCGTTGTATTGTACAACATTTATAATTCTTTGCGTACATATTTCTCCTTCAACTAAAAAAGTATACAAGTCATTATTCGTTTCAGGATGAATAGCTATGCCATTATGAAGTGATTTTGCCAAGCAAGACATGTTCCTGGGTCAACATCTTTTGTTGATCCTGGAACAATAAACATAGTCCGAAACCTATCCCTACCCTAAAATTAACCCTTTCCTTAACTTATACTTAAAATCAGAGGGAAATGGTTATATGAATAAGAATGGTGTAGAAGCTCCTAACCCTTGTTTTAAGCCTAAAGTTGGCATTAACTGATTGGTTGATTGGAATGTCGTTCCAAGATTAACAAGAACGTTGATTCAGGAACATGTTCTACTTGGTGAAATCACGTTCACCTCTGAAGCTTTCAGCCCTGACCAAATACAGACATGTTACAGAAAACACAATCTACATCTGCATGAATGGCATGATCAACCAGGTGGATTCGCTCAAGAGGGACTCCTCTAATTCAACACGTACGTACCCAGACACACACAAACACATTGCATAATCGGAATCAGTATTTCCAGATGATAGGAGCCACCTGTTCATTCATCTGAAGCAAGAGCTCAGGTGCAGGCCTCATTTGAACAGCTGTGTGTGCTGGAGATACACCAGTGACCTGTGTTCATCTGTGACCGTCTGTACTCATCGCACGTGAGTATTACCCCGACCTCTCCACAAGAGGATTCAGCCGTGATGCCAGCACAGAGATGGCTCGATATAATCATAAAAAACAATGTGTTTGCCAAATGAGGACAGATTCCAATTCAATTGGATTAAGATTTTTAGTCTAATTTACATGTGCAGTTTATTTTCCCCTCTTTCTAATTCACAATGTGAGTTTATATCTTGCAGAGTCATTTCTCACAACAATAATAATACCTAATAATAAAACAAATCAAGTTGAAATTGCAAGATATAGTCACAATTAGCTTTTTTTTACTCTATAAAGTGAAAGCAGGCTTCAATATTAAATCAATCAATCATGTATCAGTAGCCTAATAAAAGCTGCATTGAGACCACACATATAAATGCTGTGTTTTATTGCACACTGAATCATGAACATCTATGAAATTAAATATGCAACCAGCATGAGTTATCATCAAGGCAGTTTTTTAATCCTGTTCTTACACCATCAGATCAAAACTAAAGTGACATTTTTTTTACCCAGCTGTTTACTGCATCTGAAACCCTCCAGCTGATCACACAAGGTTTATAGCTGGCAAACGTTCATAACGACACGTGAAATCTGAGTTCTGAAAACTTTGGTCATTGTCCTGCAGGAGATGTGGTGTGTAACGGTGTGTGAGAGTCTTCTAACAGCTGAGCTAACACAGACACGGGCCGGACGCTGCTGGAACGCTTCAGAAGCCTGGCGTCATTGGGTTCAAAGCCTCTACGCCGGATTCTAGGAAGCATTGACGACATTTCTAAAAAGCAAAGGGACGAGTACTGTGGTAGCACATTTCTGTATGCGTGCCCCAACTGTCACTATAAAATGTTGACATCTAAAAATATGGATTGGAAAACTGATATTTTGACTGATGGACTTGGCACAAAAAAATTGTACTTGCATTGAACTGCAGTAAATATACAAACAACACGGCTAATGTCTTTACTTTAACACTTTACTTGAAGGGGTGTGCATAAGACTAACATGACGCCTTCATAATCATGACATGACACATGTTATGAATATGAAGGAAGTTTTATGCATGTTTGTGACAACTGTCATTAAGTGTCATTCGCTCAATTATGACATTTTTAATGCAAATAGGACATTGTTTGAGATGTCTTTGTTATGACACTTTGACATAAACCAATACATCATAACCTGTCAGTGTCTTTGCCATGACAACTTGACATTACTAAGACAACACAACCTGTCATAAACATGACATAGCAGATTAATTATCAAACTTAAGAAACCACTTAGCTTTATTGGTTAACATTGCATTAAACTGTCAGGTGGTTGGTTTTGACATTGGCTGTCATGAAGCCATTATAACTTTTTAATGACAAATTCAATTTGTACCACTGTAGTTGAGGTCACGAAAAATATTCATGACAGTTATAATGGCCTTATGACAGCCTATGTCAAAACCAACCACATGACAGTTTAACTTAATTTAATGTCAAGTTGTCATGACAAAGACACTGACAGGTTATGATGTATTGGTTTATGTCAAGATGTCATAACAAAGACATCTCAAACAATGTCATATTTGCATTCAAAATGTCATTATTGAGCGAAAGACACTTAATGACAGTTGTCATAAACATGCATAAACCCCCCTTCATATTCATGATATGTGTCATGTCATGGTTATGAAGGTGTCATGTCAGTCTTATGTACACCCCTTCAAGTAAAGTGTTACCTCTTTTTTTTTAAATGTTTTATCTTTTTGTCAATAATGATAATTTAATCGCTACCGAATTGGAACCTTTAGTTCCAATTACATCAGGAAATAATGAAACAATAAGGGCCACTACGCAGCAACGACTGTTACTCACTCATACACTCCTTTAGTGAGCTGTGCTGTTGAGAACGGGCCAAACAAGACATTGGCCGCATCCAAAATCACATACTTCCCTACTATATAGTAGACGAAAAACAGTGTGTAACATAAGTCTGAATTCACAGTACTCACAAAAGAGTAAAGTACCCAGATGAAGTGTGAAGTGTGCATATGATGGACACTTTACTATCCCATGAGGCCACAGGAGAGGTTTTGTGAATGATAGTGAAGCTGAAGAAAGTTTTCTAGCTAGTAGAATGAAACTGGCGCTGGTGCTGGCTATACATTCATACTATACAGAACATACTTTTTTAGTGCTCGGAGTAATTACTTATTTTAAAAAAAGCACCTACTCAAGACCGTGTGTGATTTGAGACACAGCCAAAGGCTTTAGTGGTCATATAAGAGTACTGTGACACTACTTATACATTGCAGTGTCATTTTAGTTTTATTAATATTGTGAATTAGCGTTTATTTTTATTGTTTGTTTTCATGTAAATTTTAGTTTACATGAACATTTGGTCATTTTGCTGTCCCTTTGTCATTTTAAATGATGGTATCTAATAAACATGTTAGATAACATGGTACTGAATACATTTCAAAGAATACCACACAGCATTCTCATGGTAAATGTTTAAAAAAAAAAACACATGGTTTGGTAAAGAGAAACAATACAACGTGCATTTCCAGCAAGGAATATACATAACAATTTATAGGAAAAAATATACATAGACATATCTCAGTAATTCATCATCATATTTATTTCAAGGTGTGCTAGATTTGTCCACATTAACTGTATTTAACAATAAAATGCTAAACCTTGCAATCATTTAGATCACATAAAATGCATTTATTTATGCAAGGTTTAGCGTTCTTAAAACATTTCATTCTACCTGTTTTTCAGCCCTGTCCCTGCACTCCTAATGATATACTTAGAAAAGCAATGATTTGGTAAACATTTGTTCTCATATGTAGCTGATCTGAGGTAGGGCTGGTATGTTTTGTGGCACATTAAAAACTGGATACCTGAGCCAGAAAAGTAAAAAGGCACTGGTGGAGAAAAAGTGCAGTGTCAAGTGTCAAGTAGAGCAAACACATCCCTTTAAATAAATAAATCAAGGCGAAAGATGTTCCTTGACTCAATTGAAATAGAAAAAAAATAGAACAGAACAACAGCGGACAGGGAATAAAAAACATAAAATCACAATAAAAGGCTACAGTGTCTGTCGAAGTGGCTGTTTCCGTTTAAGTTTTTAACCATAGCAAGGCAACATGAAGCATGATTGGTCCACTTGATTTCACCACTTAGACATTAGATTGCTTTTGATACGAGTTTCCACATTTGTGAGAATTAAGAATCTGGCACTTTTATCCTAGCGAGTTCTTTTCCAGTAAACAGCAGCTACAATGAACGCCACCGCAGCGATGCACGACACGGTGCGCCATCTTGACACGCTGCGGAAAATGCCCTCCTGCAACACAGCAGGCCAGAGAAAGCATTAGATATACACACTGCGTATGAACACAAGACCTTTAATGGCATCCATCAAATGAAGGATTTCTTTGTTGCATGGATATCGAAGTGCTAAAGAGATTAGAGACTGACACTTGTGAATGATGACTTCTATTAATAGCTGTCACCCCCCTTTTTGAGCGTTGACGTGAAAATGCACTCCCCAAACTTAAACGGTTGTAATTCATGAAGCCTTTGTACTAAAGACTTACGGTTGGTCTCTTTTAAAAGAAGACTCTTGGCAGATTATTGCTGAAGTGGAATAAATTAATAGAATTAAATTATTTAAAAGTTATTGAAGTTTAAGTTTATTGTTATGAAAATATAATAAAATATTTTTTTTTCTATTATTAAAAATATATATAAATTAATATAGGTTTCAGCCTAAAAATGACAGAAAGTCAAAGCCATATATCTAACCAAGTTGTGTTCCAAATTTGAAGTTGATATCACAAACACTGAAGTTCCCATGAGATTTTGTTTAGGCGTAATACCAAAAATACCCACCGGGTGCCATTGCATTTAATTGTATGCATTCTGCCATAACAAATTAAAACATTTCTATCCAAATATCACTTCTGTCACTAAATATGGAACCTTGAGACTCAGACCTTTCTGACAATATGTGTTTTGTCGAGATTAGAACATTTTTGATGATAAATTATGAAAGATGATCCCCAAAAGGGGAGGGGCCTAATAAAAAAATACCGTTTCTATGGTAACGCAAGGTCCAATTTCAAAACGGTTTTCACAGGATGAATTCTGAGTTCGTAAGCTTTCAAATGATACCTAATTTATGATAACTACTAAAATATGTGATATAATAATAATAAAAAAATTATATATATATATAATACATATTATACTTTTTAGAGGACTTTTTACTTTACTTTTTAAAATATAATTTTATCTTTTTTTATTGACAAATCCTAGATTTTGTTTTATTATGAACTTTTAGCATTAAAAACCAAAGTTTCAATATTAAAAGTGTGTGCGTCAACTTTTTGTGACCAAGGTCAGAAACTCCTGTAATGACGTCGATTTTTTGAGGCGCACTCTTGTCATAAATTCATATATTACTGTTCATACATAATTTGTAAGGAAAAAAAAACACTAAAATATCTATTAAGGAGTCTTAGACCTTTTCTAACGATATATAGTTTGTCATGACTAGATTAGGATTTAATAGTAATATAGTGAAGTAAATTTAGGTTGCCCGTTTACGGGCAGGTGACAGTTAAGGGAGATGGGAATTGTAATGAATATAAAGGTGATGTAGTTTCTGTGATGCTAGGTATTACAAAGATACAGCATATTTTACAAACGCCCCTTTTGCACATCACGTGAATACAGATCTTACATGTGCTTGTGAAGGAATGTCTCAACAGGTAAAAGTAGACTAAACATCCAACATAAAAATATATTGCTGGCCGATAATATCGTATAAGTGATGCAACGATAAGCTATCAAGCAGTTGAGATGTGTTATAAAGCATATATCACTTTAGGTGAGTGTTCTGTATTTATGCAGGTAAAGCTGGATATATACTTTCAGGAGTTGTAGGTTGGAGATATTCATTTGTTATGTGGTGATATTGAGGATTATGACATATTTAATGGTTGGATCAATTTATAGCAAATTGGTGTGTTGACAAGCCTAATCACAAACACAAAAGTGATTCACTATTTGTTTTTAAATTTCAAATCACTATTTTTATTATCAGGATTAAAAAAATAAAATAAAATAAAATAAAAGTTGTCAGCATTGCGATTCTATTTGTACACATGTCTACATGTCTCTTTCACAGACGTATTCACGTTTAAACTCGATAAATTCAAAAAACGTATTGTCCAATGCATTATTTCTATATAGATGCATATATTAAGTTGCTCAAGCAAGTGGCAAAACATTTAAACGTACTTATGGTAATATTGCAAACATTTTCAATTAAAACAGCCGTCTCTCATACCTTTTCTTTTGTATTTAAATCTTTATAAAAGAAATATTCACAAAGAACTTGTTTTCCACCTCCACGAAGTAACGAACGCCATCCATTATGTCGTGTTGTTGAGGTACTGTGTAGGATTCGTTGATTAAACCCGGGCTTAAAGTAAAGGGGAAAAATTACTGTGAAAAATATAGTACAATTTAATTAAATGCATTTATGGTGAGATTAGTGCATTTTCATGTCAATTTGTGTTCTTTTTGACCACGAACCATGCGCTGTCACTTTAATATATACGCCGCACCTGGAACGCATTGACGGACCGCATCCGCGTGGGAAAAAATACGCACCGCATACGGAGTATGTGTGAAACAGGCGTAATTAATATTTGGTATTGTGCATCACTGCCATAAATAAAAGATGCATATAAATGACAGGGTTAAATGGGTTAGATGCATATAAATGTTGCCTTGGCTTTTGGCTTGTCAAGTTGGGGACATTTAATATTCAACAATATTATTGATCTGCCTTACTTAAAAATTGCATCAACGTCCACCTTAAAGGGATAGTTCGGCCAAAAATGATATTTAACCCATGCATTACTCACTCTCAAGCCGTTCGAGATGCATATGTCAATCTTGTTTCAGACGAACACATTTTCAGTTATTTTAGAAAATGTCTCCCGTGAACGCGCGTCGATCGTTGCCGGAAGTCAGATATTTTCATTTATAAAGTTTTAAATATGTATATTTTTACGACAAAACCGCACGGATTACCCTCATAATCCCTTCGTTTATCCCCCTGGAGCCGGATGGATTACTTCTGTGACGGATATATGCACATTTTGGGACTTAAAGGAGGTGGACCCCATTGCTTCACATTATATCCACTGAAGGGTCCAAGACATTTTCTAAAATAACTGAAAATGTGTTCGTCTGAAACAAGATTGACATATGCATCTCGAACGGCTTGAGGGTGAGTAATGCATGGTTTAAATATCATTTTTGGCCGAACTATCCCTTTAAGGTGGACGTTGATGCAATTTTCTTCTAGAAACAAACTTTGTTGTATTATTTTCATGTTATCACTGTGAAGCTGCTTTGATACAATCTGTATTGTAAAAAGCGCTATATAAAGGCTAAGGGGTTAAATTGAGCTTCACAGCATTATACTTACAAATAACACGTTGTACATAGTACATTATATTTTTAGGTCCCTAATGTGCAAGCCATATTGGCCACTGGCCAGGAACGAAAAACTCCTCCACTGGCTATAGTCAAAGAATAATAATGTCAGTAATTAAGTAGATATGTTACTACACTGATTGAATTGTAATATTGGTGGCACATTTCCCAGCAGTTCAATCTCTAAAATACTAAACAGCAGGTGCCTGATCCTCCTCAAATCCCCAAAAAATGAAGGTCAAGCGCACAAGCGTCACGTCTCCTCGCTCACTGGGTTTGCATTCTTCAGGCTCATGCTGCTAGGTGCACTGTAAATAGTCATATGTTTAGTATATGGCAGTTTCTCAGGGCCACAGTGCGCTCCCTAACTCCCGAGTGTTTGAAGTCTAAACCCAGCACCCCACATTCTGCTTCCTTTATGATCATATGTGTGCTATTAAACTTGAGTGGCCCCGGGAAATGCAGCCAGCCCAGTGGAGGCTCTGCAGAGCACATGCGAACCACATCTTACTGATGTATGAGAGATGAAATGCAAAAATAGCCATTCTTGATATATATTTTTTAAGATAGAGAGGTGTAAGAATCTAGCCGTGTGCCATTCTGGGTCAGTGGGTTTGTGTGTCTGGGTATTCCTAGACGGGATGTGTCTGGGTTTGTGCTCATGTACTTCCTGGCTCGAGTGGGTGTGTGTCTCTGTGTGTGTGTGTGTGTGTGTGTGGTGGCCCATGTCTGGCTCGACCTGTGTGGCTCCACATGGGTGGCCAGACAACACATACAAAAACAGCAACTTACCCATCCTCCTTGCTGTCTGATCCAGGCAGAAATGTTTTCCTTCATAAACTGTAAAAACCAGCTAATGATCCTCCTGATAATTTCAAAGTGGTTCTGAGTCAGGGCCTAGAGGAATGAAAAGTAATCAGGTTTTTACACATCTGTATTATCGAAAAAAGTAGAGCCATCCTTAAAAGGATAGTTAAACAAAAAAAAAACTGTCATCAATTATTCACTCTCATGTTGTTCCAAACCCATAAGACGTTTGTTCATCTTTGAATCACAAATAAAGATATATGATGGATGGATTTAATTAAGGCTTTTATTATCATACACTGATCAGCGAACATACATAGAGCCCTAAAATCAGTGGTGGAGGAAGTACTGAATCTCAGTACTTAAGTAAAAGTACAAATAACCAGAGACATATTTACTTTAGTAAAAGTAGAAGTACCACAATGACAACCCTACTTAAGTAAAAAGTAAAAAGTGCCTGATTTCAAATGTACTTTAAGTTTTAAAAGTAAAAGTACTTGCATAACAATTTATTCTCTTAATGTCTATATTCTAATGATTAATAAAACAGTTAATTCTAACTCATTCTACCTAATACTCATATAATGACGTTCAATATGATGGAAAAGCAGTTATATTTTAAGTTTTTGTCACCATTTCTGAACAAGCTTGCAATTAGGCAATATACACATCAAGCTTACTATATGCCCTTACTATATACGGTATATATATATACAGTATAAACACACATATTATGTTAAAACGCCGTATTTGACGGCGTTTGGCTGTAAACGCGATTCATTTGGCGTAATTCTGAACCTCTTGGCTTGCCATACTAATCCTAACCAAACGTATAATACACACGCGCCCCACATCACTACTAAACCTACCAATGCGTTTCCTATGCATGTAAAAACTAATTTGCACGATAAACACACTGCGTGCTATAGAGACGCATTTAGTGTGACCGGGTTGATATATCTATGGCAACCAAACTTCACTGGTGAGACAGAAACGTGCGACAAACGGGCGGTCAGGATGACGTTTTGGCAGGGAAAAACTGATCAGAAAATGTAACGAAAATGTAATAGAATGTTGTAGAAATGTAGTGGAGTAGAAAGTATAATAATTGCTGTAAAATGTAACGAAGTAAAAGTAAAAAGTATGCACTATTGATTCTACTTAAGTAAAGTACAGATACGTGAAAAATTTACTTAAGTAAAGTAACGAAGTATTTGTACTTCGTTACATTCCACCACTGCCTAAAATATGGTTAACAGAAGCTCAAGCACGCTTGCTTGATGCGTGAAAATAAACCTGATTGGTTCTTGCAGAAGCTCAAACGTGCTGTGTAACACGAGAATGAACCTCATTGGTTCTTGCTGAAACTCAAACATGCGGCGTAACACGAGAATGAACCTGATTGGTTCTTGCTGAAGCTCAAACGTGCTGCGTAACACGAGAATGAACCTGATTGGTTCTTGCAGAAGCTCAAACGTGCTGTGTAACACGAGAATGAACCTCATTGGTTCTTGCAGAAGCTCAAACGTGCTGTGTAACACGAGAATGAACCTCATTGGTTCTTGCTGAAGCTCAAACGTGCTGCGTAACACGAGAATGAACCTCATTGGTTCTTGCTGAAGCTCAAACGTGCGGCGTAACACGAGAATGAACCTGATTGGTTCTTGCTGAAGCTCAAACGTGCTGTGTAACACGAGAATGAACCTCATTGGTTCTTGCTGAAGCTCAAACGTGCTGCGTAACACGAGAATGAACCTCATTGGTTCTTGCTGAAGCTCAAACGTGCGGCGTAACACGAGAATGAACCTGATTGGTTCTTGCTGAAACTCAAACATGCGGCGTAACACGAGAATGAACCTCATTGGTTCTTGCTGAAGCTCAAACGTGCTGCGTAACACGAGAATGAACCTGATTGGTTCTTGCAGAAGCTCAAACGTGCTGGGTAACACGAGAATGAACCTCATTGGTTCTTGCTGAAACTCAAATTTGCTGTGTAACACGAGAATGAACCTGATTGGTTCTTGCTGAAGCTCAAACGAGCAGCGTAACACGAGAATGAACCTGATTGGTTCTTGCAGAAGCTCAAACATGCGGCGTAACACGAGAATGAACCTGATTGGTTCTTGCAGAAGCTCAAACGTGCTGCGTAACACGAGAATGAACCTGATTGGTTCTTGCTGAAGCTCAAACGTGCTGCGTAACACGAGAATGAACCTGATTGGTTCTTGCAGAAGCTCAAACGTGCTGCGTAACACGAGAATGAACTTGATTGGTTCTTGCTGAAACTCAAATTTGCTGTGTAACACGAGAATGAACCTGATTGGTTCTTGCAGAAGCTCAAACATGCTGCGTAACACGATAATGAACTTGATTGGTTCTTGCTGAAGCTCAAACGTGCAGCGTAACACGAGAATGAACCTGATTGGTTCTTGCTGAAGCTCAAACGTGCTGCGTAACACGAGAATGAACCTGATTGGTTCTTGCTGAAGCTCAAACGTGCTGTGTAACACGAGAATGAACCTGATTGGTTCTTGCTGAAGCTCAAACGTGCTGCGTAACACGAGAATGAACCTGATTGGTTCTTGCTGAAGCTCAAACGTGCTGCGTAACACGAGAATGAACCTCATTGGTTCTTGCTGAAGAAGCTCAAACGTGCTGCGTAACACGAGAATGAACCTCATTGGTTCTTGCTGAAACTCAAATTTGCTGTGTAACACGAGAATGAACCTGATTGGTTCTTGCAGAAGCTCAAACGTGCTGCGTAACACGAGAATGAACCTCATTGGTTCTTGCTGAAGCTCAAACGTGCTGCGTAACACGAGAATGAACCTGATTGGTTCTTGCAGAAGCTCAAACGTGCTGCGTAACACGAGAATGAACCTGATTGGTTCTTGCTGAAGCTCAAACGTGCTGCGTAACACGAGAATAAACCTCATTGGTTCTTGCAGAAGCTCAAACGTGCTGCGTAACACGAGAATGAACCTCATTGGTTCTTGCTGAAACTCAAATTTGCTGTGTAACACGAGAATGAACCTCATTGGTTCTTGCTGAAGCTCAAATTTGCTGTGTAACACGAGAATGAACCTCATTGGTTCTTGCTGAAGCTCAAACGTGCTGCGTAACACGAGAATGAACCTGATTGGTTCTTGCAGAAGCTCAAACGTGCTGCGTAACACGAGAATGAACCTGATTGGTTCTTGCTGAAGCTCAAACGTGCTGCGTAACACGAGAATAAACCTCATTGGTTCTTGCAGAAGCTCAAACGTGCTGCGTAACACGAGAATGAACCTGATTGGTTCTTGCTGAAGCTCAAACGTGCTGCGTAACACGAGAATGAACCTGATTGGTTCTTGCTGAAACTCAAATTTGCTGTGTAACACGAGAATGAACCTCATTGGTTCTTGCTGAAGCTCAAACGTGCTGCGTAACACGAGAATGAACCTCATTGGTTCTTGCTGAAACTCAAATTTGCTGTGTAACACGAGAATGAACCTCATTGGTTCTTGCTGAAGCTCAAACGTGCTGCGTAACACGAGAATGAACCTGATTGGTTCTTGCAGAAGCTCAAACGTGCTGCGTAACACGAGAATGAACCTGATTGGTTCTTGCTGAAGCTCAAACGTGCTGCGTAACACGAGAATAAACCTCATTGGTTCTTGCAGAAGCTCAAACGTGCTGCGTAACACGAGAATGAACCTCATTGGTTCTTGCTGAAACTCAAATTTGCTGTGTAACACGAGAATGAACCTGATTGGTTCTTGCAGAAGCTCAAACGTGCTGCGTAACACGATAATGAACCTGATTGGTTCTTGCAGAAGCTCAAACGTGCTGCGTAACACGAGAATGAACCTGATTGGTTCTTGCTGAAGCTCAAACGTGCTGCGTAACACGAGAATGAACCTCATTGGTTCTTGCAGAAGCTCAAACGTGCTGCGTAACACGAGAATGAACCTCATTGGTTCTTGCTGAAACTCAAATTTGCTGTGTAACACGAGAATGAACCTGATTGGTTCTTGCAGAAGCTCAAACGTGCTGTGTAACACGAGAATGAACCTGATTGGTTCTTGCTGAAGCTCAAACGTGCTGCGTAACACGAGAATGAACCTCATTGGTTCTTGCAGAAGCTCAAACGTGCTGTGTAACACGAGAATGAACCTGATTGGTTCTTGCTGAAACTCAAATTTGCTGTGTAACACGAGAATGAACCTTATTGGTTCTTGCAGAAGCTCAAACGTGCTGCGTAACACGATAATGAACCTGATTGGTTCTTGCTGAAGCTCAAACGTGCAGCGTAACACGAGAATGAACCTGATTGGTTCTTGCTGAAGCTCAAACGTGCTGCGTAACACGAGAATGAACCTGATTGGTTCTTGCTGAAGCTCAAACGTGCTGCGTAACACGAGAATGAACCTGATTGGTTCTTGCTGAAGCTCAAACGTGATGCGTAACACGAGAATGAACCTCATTGGTTCTTGCAGAAGCTCAAACGTGCTGCGTAACACGAGAATGAACCTCATTGGTTCTTGCTGAAACTCAAATTTGCTGTGTAACACGAGAATGAACCTCATTGCTTCTTGTTGAAGCTCAAACGTGCTGCGTAACACGAGAATGAACCTGATTGGTTCTTGCTGAAGCTCAAATTTGCTGTGTAACACGATAATGAACCTGATTGGTTCTTGCTGAAGCTCAAACGTGCAGCGTAACACGAGAATGAACCTCATTGGTTCTTGCTGAAACTCAAATTTGCTGTGTAACACGAGAATGAACCTCATTGGTTCTTGCAGAAGCTCAAACATGCGGCGTAACACGAGAATGAACCTGATTGGTTCTTGCAGAAGCTCAAACGTGCTGCGTAACACGAGAATGAACCTGATTGGTTCTTGCTGAAGCTCAAACGTGCAGCGTAACACGAGAATGAACCTGATTGGTTCTTGCTGAAGCTCAAACGTGCAGCGTAACACGAGAATGAACCTGATTGGTTCTTGCTGAAGCTCAAACGTGCTGCGTAACACGAGAATGAACCTCATTGGTTCTTGCTGAAGCTGAAACGTGCTGCGTAACACGAGAATGAACCTCATTGGTTCTTGCTGAACCTCAAACGTGATGCGTAACACGAGAATGAACCTCATTGGTTCTTGCAGAAGCTCAAACGTGCTGCATAACACGAGAATGAACCTGACTGGTTCTTGCTGAAGCTCAAACCTGCTGCATAACACGAGAATGAACCTCATTGGTTCTTGCTGAACCTCAAACGTGATGCGTAACACGAGAATGAACCTGATTGGTTCTTGCTGAAGCTCAAACGTGCTGCGTAACACGAGAAAGAACCTCATTGGTTCTTGCTGAAGCTCAAACGTGCTGCATAACACGAGAATGAACCTCATTGGTTCTTGCTGAACCTCAAACGTGATGCGTAACACGAGAATGAACCTCATTGGTTCTTGCAGAAGCTCAAACGTGCTGCGTAACACGAGAATGAACCTCATTGGTTCTTGCTGAAGCTCAAACGTGCTGCATAACACGAGAATGAACCTGATTGGTTCTTGCTGAAGCTCAAACGTGCTGCGTAACAAGAGAATGAACCTCATTGGTTCTTGCTGAAGCTCAAACGTGCTGCATAACACGAGAATGAACCTGATTGGTTCTTGCTGAAGCTCAAACGTGCTGTGTAACACGAGAATGAACCTCATTGGTTCTTGCTGAAGCTCAAACGTGCTGCGTAACACGAGAATGAACCTGATTGGTTCTTGCTGAAGCTCAAACGTGCTGCGTAACACGAGAATGAACCTCATTGGTTCTTGCTGAAGCTCAAACGTGCTGCATAACACGAGAATGAACCTCATTGGTTCTTGCTGAACCTCAAACGTGATGCGTAACACGAGAATGAACCTCATTGGTTCTTGCAGAAGCTCAAACGTGCTGCGTAACACGAGAATGAACCTCATTGGTTCTTGCTGAAGCTCAAACGTGCTGCATAACACGAGAATGAACCTCATTGGTTCTTGCTGAACCTCAAACGTGATGCGTAACACGAGAATGAACCTCATTGGTTCTTGCAGAAGCTCAAACGTGCTGCGTAACACGAGAATGAACCTCATTGGTTCTTGCTGAACCTCAAACGTGATGCGTAACACGAGAATGAACCTCATTGGTTCTTGCAGAAGCTCAAACGTGCTGCGTAACACGAGAATGAACCTCATTGGTTCTTGCTGAACCTCAAACGTGCTGCGTAACACGAGAATGAACCTCATTGGTTCTTGCTGAAGCTCAAACGTGCTGCATAACACGAGAATGAACCTCATTGGTTCTCGCTGAAGCTCAAACGTGCTGCGTAACACGAGAATGAACCTCATTGGTTCTTGCTGAACCTCAAACGTGCTGCGTAACACGAGAATGAACCTCATTGGTTCTTGCAGAAGCTGAAACGTGCTGCGTAACACGAGAATGAACCTCATTGGTTCTCGCTGAAGCTCAAATGTGCTGTGTAACACGAGAATGAACCTCATTGGTTCTCGCTGAAGCTCAAATGTGCTGTGTAACACGAGAATGAACCTCATTGGTTCTTGCTGAAGCTCAAACGTGCTGCGTAACACGAGAATTAACCTCATTGGTTCTTGCTGAAGCTCAAACGTGCTGCGTAACACGAGAATGAACCTCATTGGTTCTTGCAGAAGCTCAAACATGCTGTGTAACACGAGAATGAACCTCATTGGTTCTTGCTGAAGCTCAAACGTGCTGTGTAACACGAGAATGAACCTGATTGGTTCTTGCTGAAGAAGCTCAAATGTGCTGTGTAACACGAGAATGAACCTGATTGGTTCTTGCTGAAGCTCAAACGTGCTGCGTAACACGAGAATGAACCTCATTGGTTCTTGCTGAAGCTCAAATGTGCTGTGTAACACGAGAATGAACCTGATTGGTTCTTGCAGAAGCTCAAACGTGCTGCGTAACACGAGAATGAACCTCATTGGTTCTTGCTGAAGAAGCTCAAATGTGCTGTGTAACACGAGAATGAACCTGATTGGTTCTTGCAGAAGCTCAAACGTGCTGCGTAACACGAGAATGAACCTCATTGGTTCTTGCTGAAACTCAAATTTGCTGTGTAACACGAGAATGAACCTCATTGGTTCTTGCAGAAGCTCAAACGTGCTGCGTAACACGAGAATGAACCTCATTGGTTCTTGCTGAAGCTCAAACGTGCTGCGTAACACGAGAATGAACCTCATTGGTTCTTGCTGAAACTCAAATTTGCTGTGTAACACGAGAATGAACCTCATTGGTTCTTGCAGAAGCTCAAACGTGCTGCATAACACGAGAATGAACCTCATTGGTTCTTGCTGAAGAAGCTCAAATGTGCTGTGTAACACGAGAATGAACCTCATTGGTTCTCGCTGAAGCTCAAACGTGCTGCGTAAGACGAGAATGAACCTGATTGGTTCTTGCTGAAGCTCAAACGTGCTGCGTAACACGAGAATGAACCTGATTGGTTCTTGCTGAAGAAGCTCAAACGTGCTGCGTAACACGAGAATGAACCTGATTGGTTCTTGCTGAAGCTCAAACGTGCTGTGTAACACGAGAATGAACCTCATTGGTTCTTGCTGAAACTCAAATTTGCTGTGTAACACGAGAATGAACCTCATTGGTTCTTGCAGAAGCTCAAACGTCCTGCGTAACACGAGAATGAACCTGATTGGTTCTTGCTGAAGCTCAAACGTGCTGTGTAACACGAGAATGAACCTCATTGGTTCTTGCAGAAGCTCAAACGTCCTGCGTAACACGAGAATGAACCTGATTGGTTCTTGCTGAAGCTCAAACGTGCTGTGTAACACGAGAATGAACCTCATTGGTTCTTGCAGAAGCTCAAACGTCCTGCGTAACACGAGAATGAACCTGATTGGTTCTTGCTGAAGCTCAAACGTGCTGTGTAACAAGAGAATGAACCTCATTGGTTCTTGCAGAAGCTCAAACGTCCTGCGTAACACGAGAATGAACCTGATTGGTTCTTGCTGAAGCTCAAACGTGCTGTGTAACACGAGAATGAACCTCATTGGTTCTTGCTGAAACTCAAATTTGCTGTGTAACACGAGAATGAACCTCATTGGTTCTTGCAGAAGCTCAAACGTCCTGCGTAACACGAGAATGAACCTCATTGGTTCTTGCTGAAGCTCAAATGTGCTGTGTAACACGAGAATGAACCTGATTGGTTCTTGCTGAAGAAGCTCAAATGTGCTGTGTAACACGAGAATGAACCTGATTGGTTCTTGCTGAAGAAGCTCAAATGTGCTGTGTAACACGAGAATGAACCTGATTGGTTCTTGCTGAAGAAGCTCAAATGTGCTGCGTAACACGAGAATGAACCTCATTGGTTCTTGCTGAAACTCAAATTTGCTGTGTAACACGAGAATGAACCTCATTGGTTCTTGCAGAAGCTCAAACGTGCTGTGTAACACGAGAATGAACCTCATTGGTTCTTGCTGAAGCTCAAACGTGCTGCGTAACACGAGAATGAACCTCATTGGTTCTTGCTGAAGCTCAAACGTGCTGCGTAACACGAGAATGAACCTCATTGGTTCTTGCTGAAACTCAAATTTGCTGTGTAACACGAGAATGAACCTCATTGGTTCTTGCAGAAGCTCAAACGTGCTGCGTAACACGAGAATGAACCTCATTGGTTCTTGCTGAAGAAGCTCAAATGTGCTGTGTAACACGAGAATGAACCTCATTGGTTCTCGCTGAAGCTCAAACGTGCTGCGTAAGACGAGAATGAACCTGATTGGTTCTTGCTGAAGCTCAAACGTGCTGCGTAACACGAGAATGAACCTGATTGGTTCTTGCTGAAGAAGCTCAAACGTGCTGCGTAACACGAGAATGAACCTGATTGGTTCTTGCTGAAACTCAAATGTGCTGCGTAACACGAGAATGAACCTGATTGGTTCTTGCTGAAGCTCAAACGTGCTGTGTAACACGAGAATGAACCTCATTGGTTCTTGCAGAAGCTCAAACGTCCTGCGTAACACGAGAATGAACCTGATTGGTTCTTGCTGAAGCTCAAACGTGCTGTGTAACACGAGAATGAACCTCATTGGTTCTTGCTGAAGCTCAAACGTGCTGCGTAACACGAGAATGAACCTCATTGGTTCTTGCAGAAGCTCAAACGTCCTGCGTAACACGAGAATGAACCTGATTGGTTCTTGCTGAAGCTCAAACGTGCTGTGTAACACGAGAATGAACCTGATTGGTTCTTGCTGAAGAAGCTCAAATGTGCTGTGTAACACGAGAATGAACCTGATTGGTTCTTGCTGAAGAAGCTCAAATGTGCTGTGTAACACGAGAATGAACCTGATTGGTTCTTGCTGAAGAAGCTCAAATGTGCTGTGTAACACGAGAATGAACCTCATTGGTTCTCACGCATCAAACAAGTACGGTTGTGCTTCCGTTTACCAGATTTGAGTGCTCTATGCACATTCACTGATCAGTGTTTATACATGAATAAAAGCCTAAATTAAATCGGTTCATATTAAGCAATCATGTCTCTTTAAAAGACTTGGATTAAACCGCTTAATTCATATGGATTTATTTTACGATCTCTTAATGAAAGCTTTGAACCGTCAGAGTTTTGGGTGAATAGACTTTAAATGGAGGAACAGAAATCTCTCCAATTTAATGAAAAATAATTTCATTTGTGTTTTGAAGATTGGCAAAGGCTTACGGGTTTGGAACGACGTGATGGTGAGTAAACGATGCCAAGTTTCATTTTTGGGTGAACTGTCCCTTTAATAAATCATGAAGATTGCAGTGATGGAGTAATCCAATGCCACTGACACATTGATTGAAGAACAAATGGTGAGTTAATCGTTTCACATTTTCAATTAAAATATTTAAAAGGTAACAAAATAAAATCATGAATACCACAATGCCGTTTTAAAAATAAAAGGCCAAATGAGAGTTTTACCATGTAAATGAGCTTATACGCGAGGTGAAACAGAGCCACCACGCGTCCCCAGTTGATGCCATCATCAAAGATGCTCCTGGCCACCGTCATGAAGACGTCCTGAGCGCAGTTTGCCTGAACAGTGCTGATGAGACTGTGAGGGGAAAAGAAGTGTACTGTATGTTATTATGAGGTTCCCACACTCTACTACACGTTTTTGAATAAAATACCATAAATGGAGGGATCAAATGAAAATCATTTGGTTATGCCAAAGGATCGTTATCTTGTTCTATATTGCACACTGTTCATTCTTCATCCTGGTTTAGTAACCACTCCTAGGTAGTCAGGTTTTGAAATTTCACACTGTAAACAACTGAAACAACTAAAATATTAAGGCTTTTTCTGCACACCAGTTAATGTGTTCGTTGTTGACACTGAAACTAAACCCAGCCTGAATGTTTCTGCTACTGAATATCTATGTTTATCTGGGTTTAACCCTCCAAAAGGTTTGGTTTGAAGCAGGGCTTCCTAACCCAGGGTTAAAACTACCCTTGACCCAGGGTTTAAAAATATGTGAAACAAGTGCAAAAAAGTAATAAAGCCCGTCTGCTGAAATTCCAAGGAAAAAGATTTTCCCTGAAAAGACAGAATACAATAAGAGCATCACTAAACATAAATTAAGTATTGAAAAGAAACCCGGAAAATGTAAATGTTGTACTTTCAGACGAATGTTGCTAAAAGCTGGCTTCTGTAACTTTTATGACTAGCCTAAAACATTCACCGATTTCTGCAATCATTCAGTCTTTTGTTCCTCGTTAAATGGTTTCACTTTTGTGAAAATTGTACTTTTAAGATCACATGACCAGTCAAATACTTTTTCCTTTTATCCTGATTATATACTGTAAATGAATACATGAATCATAGCTGGCTGTAAATAGAGCATTTCTACAAAAGTCTGTAACTGAAAACGTTTGCTTTTGCATCCATGCCGTCAGACGGCACTACAAAATACGAAACTTAATGAGTGCATCTTTTAAGCAAAATCGAAACTATTGGTTTACATACTTATATTTCAGTTTCTATTTCACAAAAAAATTAATACAGCAGGAAATACATTCATACTGTGCATTACATTCCCGGGCCAACTTGAGTACTAATGCCATTTACAGAATTGTGAGATAAAAAGACGCAATTACCTTTTGTCATTTTTGGAAACAAACTTTCATATAAAACTGCAAAATTCTCAGAATAATCTCTTTTAAGAGAAAATGCTATGTGTGTAAAATGACTAATATTACTATGGGTAGTCATTATAATTGAACTACTAGACAAGTGACTATTAGCGTCGCAGTTCACTCCGTCTCACCCAGAAAAAGCACACAAGTTGTGAGAAATCAAGATTAACAAAAGCGCGACATCAAATACAATGTCTAAAAATCACAAAACAAGTATCCGTGTTTTTGTTAAATGATATATTAAATTTCTTTTTTTATTCTTCTTCTTTTGTGGTCCATAAAAGAAAGAAGGGCAAACAGCTTTGTCATAATTACAGCAGAACATGCCAAAAGATAAACTGCATTATAAATGTCTGTTGCAATGTTTAATACGACAATAAACATCATTTGGTTATATTAGCCAGGACCGGAATCAAGAACCACTGTTATAGCTTATATATAGGACAGGCTTTTGAATATTTTGATGGATGGCCTTCAAACATTGAGAACCACTGCATTAGACACTTAAATTGTGTTTTCTCCCATCATATATTCACAAAAAGACAAATGAGCTGAAACAAAATGAAAAACATACTGTTGAAGCTCAGCATTCCGGTTAAGGTCATCGGCTATCTTCAAAAGTTGTCCTACAACCTCTTTGATATGAGGATCATCTCCCTCCTGAGATCTTCCTCCTAGATCCTCAGGGCTCACATGCATGGATGGATCATCTACAGTAACTCGCTCAATAATATACCTACAAGTTACAAACCAAAGCGCAGTAACAGTGAGAGAGACACAAATGCATCACCATATAATATATAACATATACAGTCAAACCAAAATGTATTCAGACACCTTCAACAGTTCTCACATTATCACAGTTTATTCGCTGTAGTTTAGAAAATGGTAATAAAATATGAAATCAGTTGATATTTCACTGGTTTTGCCCATCTTTCTGTTAGACTCTCATAAATGAATTATGTTGAATATCTGTCAGCTGTTAAATTTAACTACACAACTAGATAATAATTAGGTCAACCAATTACCAAGCAATGCCTAATGTTGTTCAGTCTGTGGTGTAAAAAGGTGACATTAGCAATTAAAGAAAAAATATTTCAGCAAAACATGGTCAGGTCAAAGTGTCAGAATAATTTTTGGTCACAAATTTTGTGTGTATGGAGAATTTTGGGGTATAATATGTCAGTTTACTTTATTTTGCTGTCCTCACTTACATAAATGAACTATAGTGTCCTGCACCCACTAGTCAAAAAAATGATATCTGGTGTCTGAATCATTTTTGGTGGCGACTGACATTGGCCTATATGAAATTGAAGATTACATAAGTTTACCCTCTTAGCAGAACAGCACCCTGCTCAAGGATTACATCATCCACGACATCTGCAAATAAAGAATATTAAATTGAGTTCATGTGAACAATAATCTTCATAACACTGGAGTGTGATAAAAAGGAAACGAGGTTAAAGTACAGGAAGCAATCTGTGTGTGATAATGGGGTGAGATGGAATAATAAATGTGGTGAACCCTGACCTCCCAACTTCCCTTTTTGATACTGGCTGGTCATGAGAAGGTTTGTGGTGTAGTAGCCAAAGTACCCTATTGCCAAATGTTTATTCTCACTTCCTGTCAACATCTTGTTTAAAAGATTGGTGGTCAAATCTCATCTCAAATAGCTTTAAAACATACATTTTAATTTAAAGATTAGCCCTGTTTTAAAGGCATATTGACCCTTATGCTTGATGTCATTAGTTTCTGAATGTTATTAAAGTGTCTGAATGTGAATTTGTTGTAATGGGTGTTTTGTTTATAAAGGACTTAAACAGTTCTTTAAAGTAGGGGTTTCAATCTTAGAGGCCACAGACCCTTAAAATATGATCAATCTTCCTAAAATATACTATAGTACTGCACTTTAGTTTCTACTAAATTACTGTAATGTTAGATGTATTATTTATTTAAATCAATTCATCTATATTTTAATAATTTATTTATAATTTAATGTCTAAAGACCGATAAAACAGATAGGCTAGTCCGGTCCTTGATTCTGATTGGTTGAGCCTTACTCTACAATCATACACCTGTGACATTATTACATCAGTATTGTGTGTTGCTGCAGTTATGTATTTCAGCAAAGAGTAACTGTTTATTACTTATATAATGAAGTATGAGTGACCCCTGCTGGAGTTATGTTGCATCATTCACCTTTAATTCTAAAATAATCTTCACTATAGGATGAGCCAATAGCATTCGAGTACGAGATGTGAAGGAGAATCTGATTGGTTGGACCGAGTGAACGAATGCCTCCTTTTCATGAATTTGAGACACGATCTGTTTTTTGGGTAAAATGCTTATGATGCCTCAACAGTATTTCTAGAGTCTCTTTGGCCCTGTTTACATCTGGTATTATGCGTTTTTCGGATCACAAGTAGACGACGGAGACACATTACCGTTTACACCTGGTGTTTTAATCCGTCTCTATTGTCCACTTTCAACCACTTCTGTCCAGATTTCTTTGAGGGAAGGGTCTATGTGTGGGTAAATGTAGGGGCTTTATCAGATCTTTCGATCTAATGGATGAAATAAAGTTTTTGCTCCGACAGCCTCAAGAGCAGCCGAACGCTGTGAGTGTGTGTTAGAAATCAGGAATGGTGAGAGAACATTGTGTTTGGTATGTTTTTCCATCTTTAAACCAAACTTGGGTCTTCAGTCGACAGTTTAAACCCCGTCTGGCTCGAGCACTTCCCATAATGTTCACACATTAGATCAGTAGACGGAGAGAAGACGGTCTTTTGTGGCTGTTTGAACACATTCGATCACATGAGCGATTACACTACGAAAGCAATCCGGTCAAAAGTGGACAAGCTAAAAACAACCGTGTTTACACCTGTATAGTTGTCTACTTGTGACCCGATCGACTAAAATTAATCTTAATATCAGGAGTAAACAGGGCTTTAGTGCAGGGTCACCATTGACATTGAGTGGGACAAGTCCCCTGCTATTACATATGGCCAATACTCTGTTAGTTGTAAAAAAAAAAAAAAAAAAACATTTTTAGGGTTGTATTTGTGCTTGAGACAATAAAATCAAAGGCACGCTTCATGCAGTTTTAAAAGTGCGAAAGTGTAAGTACACGTAATATTTATTTGACAACTGTTTTACAATAGAAATGTTAAACAACTGGCAGAAAACACCCTATTTTAAAATTGAAAATATAGCCTAGGCTTTCATTTACGTGATTTATGTAATTCATATCTAATGTGACGAGACCAGAACATATTAGACCAGTGGTTCTTAACCTTTTTGAGGCCATGTGACTTTTCCAGTCGGTCATGATTTACCAGATAATTTAAAGCTTGACATAACTAGATTTTTTTTATTATTATTAAAACTGCCCACTGGAGTTATAGGATTTAATTTTTTTTTACATTATGTTTCCAAGTCTAGAAGGTCAAGGCTTATTTCTAGATAGTGGAAATCCTGGTTCTTTTATTTTATGTTAATTTTTAATAGGTAAAAAAGCATTTGTTGAAGTGTTGAATTAAAATTAAAATATATATTTTTGCTTATTTTAATACTTGTTTTGTCTTGCATTTGTGTAGATCATCCAAGTCATCTTGAATGTTTGCTAAGACCCCCTGCTTGAGAACCAAAAAATAAATAAAAAAATCAAAGAACTATAAATCACAACCTCTTACTCAACAGTCTTTGGTGTCTCTGAGACTGTTTTCACCTGGTTTAGATCATATCTCTCTAAATCGCTACAAGTTTCTGGTTTCAGGTCTGAGATTGTCTCTGTTCCTGCTGGTGTCCCTCAGGGTTCAATTTTAGGCCCCTTACTTTTTAGCATTTATACTGTAGGCCCTATTTCCTCTTGGATTCCTCTTAACATCACTCAGGCTTAATTATCACTATTATGCAGATGATAATAATCAGATTTATATTTACTCTAAGCCTGGTAAAAACATTAATTGCGTAATGGTGTAAAACTGCACAAATGAAAAGAGATTAGATTGAAAACATCACTATTTTGACAGGCTAGAAAAACCCCAACACGCCATGACATAGCCTATACGTCAGACACTATTTAGGTAACTATGACATCAGAGGAAGTTCCATAAAACAAAATGAATTATATTTTAATATGCAAGCGATAATTGTCTGTTTCTTGCTCATTATGTTTATTGCTCATAATCTGACATGGTAATAAAAACATAAATCTAAATAGGAAGTTCCATAATAATTTAAACGAAACGTCAGAAGGCTACACACGAAATACAATGAACTCATTAAACTGAAAATCACCATATATCATCAACGGAATATAGCCTAGTCAGTCTAGTATTTATCCTTATTAAGATTTCAAACTGAGTCTTCAGTTCTGGTCAAGTCACCGTCGAAGAAAAGTGTGACGTCACGTCTAGTTCAAAGAGCTAAAAATGCGTGGCTAGTTCACAAAACTCACTCTAATTCGTTTAAAAGTTGTACCTCGTCTTACCTTCACCACCTGTTGCCCCCTTCAGCTCGTTTTCGTCTGTCCTCTCCCCATTGTTGGCATCTGCCATGGTTTTATTCGGCGCAAACACCGCCCGGCTCAACTAATAGCTTTGCTAACTAGCCAGAGCAGCCTAACAATGTCTGAATCCGCTAAATTCACAGCTTCCAACAAAACACAACATACTCTAGTCGCGTTATCGACGCTTGTGGTTATATGATCTCTTCGGGAGTACCATTAGAATGATAAAAAATGATATGAAAGTTTTTAAAAAAGTGGTCAAGAGGCTTTAAGAAGAGCTCCACCAATGGAAACAACGCGGAAATGGAGATGGTGAAAATAATGCGATAATTTGAGCTTGTTTAAACCACAAGCATTCATCTTCCCGTTATATTAATTGTTACACATCAATCAAGATGCTGCAATTTTTGTCTAATCACTCAATTGTGTAAGTTTTATTTTCTCGGTTTAGAAAAAAGTACAGAATGGCATCTTTACTATAAAGCCCACAGAAAATAAACAGGGTAGGTTTATTAGAATCAGAATGATATTCAATGTCTTGGTGAAGCTTTCAGTATACAGAAAAAAATCTAAATAAAGATAATAAAATGACAAAGATAAATCACATAAAATATGCATACAAAAAATTATATAGGCCTACAGATACAATTATGCAAGGGAATATGAATAATGTGCTGTCCTATTGCATGTTGGGTTTGTGGGGTCTATCTATCCATCCATCCATCTTATTTATTCATTCATTCATTCATTATAATATCAATAGAGGGTGTGAGCTCTATCCATCTATCTATCTATCATCCATCCATCCATCTTTTTTATTGATTTATTTTGGTTGGTTCGTTCGTTGGAGATTCATCTTTATTAATCCCCTGTATATTTTGGATAAGTATGCTGGACCACATGTTTCCTCTTCTGAAACCATGTCTGAAACAGTGAATGTTTTTTAAATGTGATCTGCGTGCTATTAGAGTCCAAAGACTGTAACGAACATTATGCACCACCAGATGTCACTATCAGACTGAGTAAAGACGAGCATAGCGTCAGTTTTCTAAATAAGCATAGCATTTAGCAATCTGAGCAAGGGGATAGGTCATTTACAAAAATATACGCATGTATTGTTGCCAAATTGCATGTTTTTATTTGTGAGAGCCAGTTCCCACTTTCCCTTAACATTACAGAAAGTAAGACAGTTGTTTTCTACTCTGGAATAGTAACTCATCCTATGTCATGACACAGAGCTGCCAACTTTTGAGTTTAGCTTGGCGTGAGACTTCTCCAACGGGGGGGGATGGCATTGTCCAACGGGGGGCGTCTCTGCAAAATAAACACACAACAAAAAATGACAGCGGTGAGAAAACAGCAGTTCAGAAAGCATCTGATCATAGTGATGTGGATGTTTGCACCAGCTCTGCAATTCGACACATCAGTCAAGTCACATCACAATATAGCACTTTATAGATGCTTAACGCAGCAGCTTTACAGTATTAAAGGTGGGGGAGAAAATTAACCGGATAATAGTTTATCAAATATGTAAAGGAGTCAAAACAGTGGCAGGAATCCCTCCGTCACACACACAGACGAAGATCTGCTGCGAGGAGACGCGTTTCTGGTGCCTGAACCGAACTGTGATGGGCAATATCACGACTATGATGAGGGAAAAAACAGCTTGAGCACTCTGTCCTTTTTAGGGTTGCATTTTGTGACATCATGTCCTGTTTTTGGTTCGTTTAGATGTCTTTGGTCCGTGTTGTGTTCATATTTCAGTCGAACCGCACAAGAGTTTGTTTGGATGCGGATCAAGACTCATCTTTTCAGAGTCTCGGTCCGCTTGTTTGGTGCGACCAGGGTTCAGATGGCAGCGTTCACACTTATTTAACTGAAACGCATTAACAGAGCAATCACACCAGAGTTTGTTTTAATTGAATTAAACCTGCCAAGTGTGAACACACTGTAAAATCCCATTGTGGAAGATCTGATCTGATCTTAACAAATCTAAGGAATTTTTTGAAAATGATTATTTATTGGCTGTGGATATTATATATAAACCCTAGCCTGGGAAAACCCAGACAACTTCCGGCAAATTTAGATTTGCTCTGAAAATTAGTCTGGCAAAGAGCTCATTCAAACCCGTTTCCAATCCGCCGAAATCGAGGCACCAATCAGAAACGTTGGGGCGTGCTTTACACAATGACGACAGCGCTGGGATTTTGAAGCAGATTTTGTAGCCTACATTACAAAGATGGATGCCGCCGTCGAACATCACTCTTTCGAATCAGCTATCGCGTCTGTTTTAAGCGATTTGAACGTTTCCTTTTTGTTAAAAACCGAGCAAAGAACAACACTCGGAGATGTTTCTCCGCCGCTCTGCATACGTCATCTCCTTCATCGCTCTGATTGGGTTTAGGTCTATCCGCGACGTCCGTTGGTGACGCCCCTCTGGAAATGATTTGTCTATGACGCTTTGCCAGACCATAACTCACTTACAACTGAGAATGGTCTGGTTTTAACCAGGCTATATAAACCCATGATACAGGAATAGAACGTAAAAAAAAAAAAAAGATGAATTGAATAAGAGGGCAGTTAGATCAATGATCTCCATTATTGGAGTGTTTTTCTGTGACCTCCCTGAGAGAAAAACATCCTCCCCAGCACACAGGATGTACAAGCTCTCCCTAAAAAAGTTCCAAACTTAGTAACTTAGTCCCACGACGGCCGGTCCTCAGCATTTCCTTAACCATAACTGTTACCATCACACACACACTGCCTTGAGCCAAGGTTAGAAACGATGCTGTTGGTCATCACAGTCCCTGAGATTTATGAGAGGGGATGTTCTGGACAGTTAATGGAAAGGATGTTTCTCTTTGTTCTTAGTGTAGACCCTTCATCTTCAAATGATCTGGAGTCTCCAAATGACCCTCAGTTTACTTGACTTGACTGAGCCTGTGAGAAAATATTCAGACCATCCTAAGAACAACTAGGCTGCGTGACAAGCCTTCACTTTGACTGTTTTGGGACGGATTGCAAGCTGATCCTCCAGCCTGTTTCAATTTAAGCTGAGAATTGTGACAGGAAATAAGGGGATAAGAGGAAGTGGTCAGTGTATGGGAACTTGTTAATGGAACTGTTTTAGATTGGGGTGAGTAATGGACATGTATTTCCCATGGAGAGTGCATTACCACTATCACAATGTTTATAGTTCATAATTAATTGGGGGTCAACGACAATTTCTGAGATCTCATTCTCAGTACACAGGCCCAAAATGATGTCCAAACAATTTGGCATGTTTTAGTGTTATTATCAAAAATAAAAATGATCGAGTCCAAGCACAACTGCCCAACATGCTCATAAAATCTTTAACTGATTTTTTTTTAATAATATTGGAATAAAGGGTGAAGATGATGATTTTACTAGGCGAGACATCACTACTCTAAGCCCCTGAGGCTATTTTCACAATTCACAATTTCCACAGCTATAAACAAGGGACGTGGGTGTTAGTCTTTATTAATAAAGACCAGCCAATGGCCAACTAGTGCAACATTTTGGCCCAGACATGAGGCGACACAGTCCTCCTTCATCACCACTAGTTCTATGATGTCGGATTGGTGTGTCTGGGCCTTTAGATTGACTTGATTTGCAGGGCGGACCCAATTCTTCACGACATCATTATCATGTGACCGCCAGGTCATGATATCGACCAATCAGAATCAAGTACTATTCCTGAGAACCGGTGGTATAAAAATTCTAAATCATCCCGCTCATTTGGGAAGCAAATCTCCTACATACTTCAACTTTAATGTCTCTCAGTTTATCTCTTTTCATACAGAACTGACATCTTGACTATAAAGAGTGCCTTTGAGGACTTGGTGAACATAAAACTCTCAATATTAGAAGCGTAGGAGTCTCATGTCCTGTTAAAGCCCAAAAATGAAAACATTAGTTGTGACATGAGCTTAACATAGAAAAAGATTTACTTTTAGGTTCTTACTTTTCAGGTGAATCAGACGCATGATTTATGCATTAGAATGCGTTCTAGAGACTAGAGCATCATAGACTTTTGATTCGGGACAGTAAGCAATCACCTAGATCACCCTTGTTTTGAATCGGCAAGCATCCCTCAAAATGTTTAAAAATGTTTGGTTAAATGCGAGTATAAAAGATATATTTAGTTGTCCGGTTATTCTGGGCTCAAAGTGTTGTATAGGGCGGAAATAAACGTGGGGTTAGATTGAACCCTCGTAGGTCAAAGGTCAGGACAAATTTTCTGACAAACGGGAAATGGTGGTGGAGCTTTGCAACCATGTTGTTGCTGAATTCCCAGTGGAAAGATTTTTTTTTTTTCTAAAACATCATCAGCTTCCCGGCTTTATCTAACGCTGCATCATGCAGCAGAGATCCTGACCACAAATGTTTGTCATTTACTGTGAGAACAGGATTAGAAGTTTAAATATAGCATCACTTGTACAGACAAAAACAAAATCATGGTTTTTTGGCTTGGTCAGAGTGCAAGATAAAGTTTGCATACTGTCAGATCCAGTCGCATCAAGCTGTCACTGAAAGTGACATAAACATTTAGCATTTTAAAACTCAATTGACTCTTGTTTATAAGGAGAATGACAAACATTTGTGATGTACGCTTTTCGTTCTTTCTCACCATTTGGAAATTATAACATAACATTTATTGGATGTTTAAACTTAATCTCATTTGGCATGTTATATGTTGTATGAGACATACAGAGGTTGGGAAATGAAACTGAAACACCTGGTTTTAGACCACCATACTTTATTAGTATTGTGTAGGGCAGGGGTGCAAAACTCTCAGCCCGGCAGAGTTCAGCTTTAAATGCACCAAATCCAGATAATCAGGCTTATGTGTCCTTCATTATAGCCCCTCAGGCTTATTTGAAAACTACAGGTGTGTGTGTTGGTGCAGGGTTGGAACTAAACTCTGCAGGACTGTGGCCCAATACCGCATCAATTAGTTTTGGAAATGACACACACAAGTCCTGCACAGTGCAATGAATGAATTGAACAGTCAGTCACAGGCGATCCACACTCCGATCCAGAAGGGGGCGCACGCCAGGCCCGGCTCCACGGGGGGGCCAGGGTGGGCCTGGCCCACCCAATCAGAAGCTTGGCCCACCCTGGCCCCACTACATAACAATCACAAAATTGGTGCGATATTCAATTCAGCTCGAGATAGGCTACGTTATTTTCTATTTTCTACCCAACCCTCTCCTTTTTCCCTC